TGTTAAATGACATGTGTCTAATGCAGCCAGAAGAAGGCACATTATAAATATGGATGTTACACATGTAGATGTAGAGTTACCATTAGAACAAGTTCTTTACCTTTTATCTTTTTAGAAATAAATGAATTGCATGCTAGTATCTGGGTTTATTAGGATTCTACTCAAGAAGAATTTTTGAATCATAATAGCCAGCTCTCCCTATTTATCCATTTGTATGAAAGAGAGCTTCAAAGTTGAACGTCACTTAGTTTTATTGCATTTTACCAGTGTATTTGGTGTGTGTGTTACTGTTGAACACAGTGCTTGCAAATTTTTGCCTAATTTTACAAAGTGAAGAAAATGAATTGGAGGTTAATTTTGTTCAAGTGTCTATATATTTTATCATCCAACTGTAAAACAAGTAGCAATCAACCAGGGATGTATATTCACCTTCAGCTTAGTTTTCTGAAGTCCAGTTAAATGTCTGACACCTTTCTCTCCACCAACACCTTACTTAGGATTGGGAATTCATAATGGGAAGAAAAATACTATAGTTTAATATTAGGGCTAGCATGCTAATTGGGTTGTTTAATTTTTAATTTAAGAGAACTGTGTTACCTGTTGAAGTCTTCAAAAATATGTTTACCTACAGTACAGGTTAGAAGGCTATAAATTCCTTTCTTACCTTTGAGTCTTCTACCTGCTCTTTGAATCTTGCTTCCATCATTTTAACCCAGTAATCTTGCTTTTCTTTAAACTCAAAGCCCCTTTGTACCATTCCCTGGGGGTCTAACTAAGGGCAGCATCAGCTTCCTAAGAGCAGAGATAGAGCAAAGTTTGGTACATAATAGATACTCAGCAGATAGTTCTAAGCAACTATACATTAGAGTGCACACCTTGCATACAGTACAAACCCAAAGAGAAGTTCCAAGGAAAGGGGGAAATCAGCCATTTATTCTTAGAAGTAATTCTGTGTTCGCAAATATCTATAGGATGAAAAACAAAAAATAAAGTTATTGATGGTTTTGAAGAATTTAAAAGATACCCATAATATTAAATTATTTGTATCAGTTCTTTTTGTGCTCTGCACCTGATTCTAGTAGGGAAGCAAGTGGAGTGCAAGGCAAATTCCAGGTAGATTAAAGTAGCATACCTTGGCCATACAAGAAGCAACCAATGAATACATAAATAAGTAAAATGTATTGATAGTTCATTGATAGTTCTCTCTCTTTCTCTCTCCCCCTTCCTCTCCTCTGTATCTCTCTCCTCTCCTCTCTGTGTAAAAGTCAATAAAATTAAAAAGTAGTATATCTTTAAGAAATAATGAGCCTCCAGAAAAATCACAGACTGTATACCTATGTTAACATGTCTTTCCTTTGATGTCAACTCATAGAAAACTGTGCCAAAATATTCAATATTTACATATTACTCTTATTCCTTTTCTAGTAGAGTACCTCCTTAGTAAAGTAGAAAACAAACACTTTTAGCAGTTTAACAGTTTGTGTTTAAGTAGGGATTTTTGGTTGAATTGGTTTCAGTGCACACTTGATATTTTCGTAACTACTGGCTGATCACTCTTTTCTTTCCTTTTTGGGGGGGTGAGTAGATATGATTTATTATGAGTCATTAAAGGATGCATTGAATTAGATATCATAATTAGGGCAAAAATGTAGTAGACAATTTGGCATTTATTGTCATAAGTTCTGCAGAGATCTTTTCATATTTGACCTACCACAGATGTTTAAAGTCTACTTAATTCTCTGTGCTGTAAAGAAACATGTATACAAATACATTAGAAGATTAATGAACTAGAGGATTATGGGGCAGGCATGCCTGATTTATTATTTCATCGAGGGCATCTTTTGTATTACTATGATCCCATTTCTTCCTGCAATAAATTTATAAGTATGATAAGAGCAAATAAGTTTCTGTTTGTGACTTGGTTTTTGAGGTAAAGTTTTTTTGAGGTTATATAAGATGAAATATAACAAAGTTAAAATGATAAGGACTAGTTGAGAATTTTGGCTGGTTTGTGATATGTTTACAGAAAATTGGAAAAGAAAAAATATTTAACCTTAGTGTTCACATACTAAAACATGATAAATCTAATATTGTCTTTTAGAAAGCCTGCTTTAATGAACAGATAAGAATAATGTACATGTAATATATTAAAGCACTAATTTAAGCAATGGATGTTTCAGCAGAAACTATGGAGTGACTGTAAAGGGATAGTCAGATAAATGCCTTGGAGATGTACTTAACACTATTTGGTTGTTTGGGATTTTTAAAAAATAGATAGTGCATCCTCCTTTGGGCCTCTGTTTACTTACCTTAAAATAGCTAGGGTGAACTAGATTGTTGCTTTTGTTTATTTATTTTTAATATTTTATTTATTTATTTTTAGAGAGAGGGGAAGAGAAAGAGAAAGAGTGGGAGAGGAAGATCAATGTGTGGTTGCCTCTCATGTGTCCCCTACTGAGGACCTGGCCTGCAACCCAGGCATGTGCCTGACTGGAAATCGAACTGGTGACCCTTTGCTTCACTGGCCCATGCTCAATCCACTGAGCTACACCAGCCAGGGCTTTGCTTTTGTTTTTTTAAATTATTTTTATGTATTGATTTCACAGATGTTGGTTTGTTGTTCTACTTGTTTAGGGACTCATTAGTTGTTTCTTGTATTTGCCCTGACCAGGGATTGAACTTGTGACCTTGGTTAGGGAAAGCACTCTAATTAACTGAGCTACCCAGCCAGGGCTAGGTGGTTGCTTCTTAAGCTTTAATGTGCATGTAGATCACCTGGGTATCTTATTAAACTACAGATTCTGATTTAGTACGTCTAGGATGTTGGCCTGAGAATCTACATCTTTATTTTCACCTGAGGACATGCTTATTAATTTTAGGGAGAGGGGAAGAGAGAGAAACATCATCAGTTGCCTCTTGTCATCGAGCCAACAGCCTAGGCATGTGCCCTGATCAGGAATTGAACCTGCAACCTTTCAGTCTGCTGGCCAATGCTCCAACCATCTGAGCCATACTGGCCAGGGTGAGAGTCTGCATTTTTAAAAACTGATTTAGAAAGAGGGAGGGAGAGAAGGGGGGAGGGAGACAGAGAGAGGCACTGATTTGTTGTTCCACCCATTTTTGTATTCACTGGTTAATTCTTGTATGTGCCCTGAAGGGGAACCTGCAGCCTTGGTTTATTGGGGCAGTTCTCTAACCAACTGAGCTGCCTGGCCAGGGTTTCTACATTTCCAGCAGTCTCACTGATGATGCTGATTCCTGTAGTTTCCAGAACATGCTTGAGTAGGAAGGGGCTGGATGGTTCAACATAGAATTTAGCAAAATCTAACTGATTCAGTTGTAACATAAAACCGCCATAGTGAGACAAAAGGTAAAGTGCAGGTTAAGGCTTTTTGGGTTGGAAAGGAATACTAATCAGTTTAAACTAGCACAAATAAAAAGGGAAGTTGTTCTAAGAATAGGAGATAATTTCACTGATATCCAGGAGCAAGAATTAATCTAGCCAGACTTCAAGAGAAGTGCATTTAAAAATCAAGTAGGTTAGCTATAGCTCCCATTTCTGCTTTCTGAATTTCCATTCCAACCTCCCCTTTACATTTCTGGTACGTCTTTGGCTTGCCATGTTATTGATGGTGGCCTGCACTGTTTGACCTGTCAGACTCAAGACCCTGACAACAGTATCTATTTTTCTTAGTTCAAATTTTCAGGAATGAATTGTTTCTGTTTGGATCAGGTTTCCAACCTTAGTCGAGCTAGCCTTTCATGTTTGGGAGGGTAGAGTGTTGGAATAACATAGAAAGAATAGGGTCAGTGAGATTAGCCTCTTTGCGGTGGGGGTGGGGCAGGTAATGGACATGGGAAAGGTGCTAGTTTCTAGAGAAGGGGAGCCCTACCAGAGCAGGCAGTGACATGAGTCTGATATACCTTTTCTAAAAAAAGATTTTATTTACTTATTTTTAGAGGGAGAAAGAGAGGGAGAGAAACATCAATGTGTGGTTGCCTCTCACGCGCCCCCTATGGGGGGCCTGGCCTGCAACCCAGGCATGTGCCCTGACCGGAAACTGAACTGGAGACCTTTTGGTTCACAGGCTGGTTCTCAGTCCACTGAGCCACATCAGCCAGGGCTCATTTCATACTTTTATCTTGCATATAATTTTAAAGATAATGCTAAGATTACTTTGTGAGGGAATGCAAACACATTCTCCCATTCTTGGAATCACAGAGCCACTTGGAACATTTGAGGTTCAACTTTATTCTGAAGCCATTGGTGTAAAGAGAAAGTATAATGTTCACCAATTGCCATAGTGCAGCGATTTTCCAACCCAAGTGCCAGGACAGGTGTACTGTATGCTACAAGAATTCAAGAATTTTTAAATCGTGCAATACCTATTTAGTCAGGAACACTGATCTCTCTTTCCTTAGACTGTCAAATTAAAAAAATGACAACAGCAAACAAAATAGCCATCTGGTGTTAATGAATCAAAATTATGCCTTTTTTTTGTCAGAATAGCAAAAATATATATATTTTGATGGGTTGTAGAATTTTATTAGTTTATGTATGCCATGAATGAAAAAGGTTGAAAAATCACTGCATTAGTGAAATCTTTAGGTTCTTGTAATAGTTGAAGTAATTGCCAGTTACCTCATTTTTCCTAAGAGGCCATTCTATGTTTTCCGCAGATAATAAAATCGAAAATCAGTGATAGCACTTAGAGCAATACTCATGGTTCCCTTTTGGCTCATCAACAAACCAATGCTCCAGATTCTGGTGTTCTGTTTTTTCATGCTTCTAAAATGTGTATAATCCTGAAAAATACTCTACCTAGTTAATAAATGTCAAATACAATTGTACTTAAAATTTAATGTTATAAGTGTTTGGGGCAAAATGTGACCAGCTTTTTGGGAAGAAAGCCTTTAAAGAAATTATTTGCTGGTTGGGAACACTATCTTCCTTTATGTTTATCTTAAGTATGGCTTTTTTTTTCACCCCCTAATTTCAGAAAAAGCCTGTGCGGAAGCTGGGTCAGCAAGAATGTCACTTCTTATATTGCTGTCCATTTTCTTATCTGCAGCTTTTGTCATGTTTTTGGTGTACAAAAATTTTCCTCAACTTAGTGAGTAAGTATACTGAATTAAACTGAAAATGGCTAGACATTTTATAGTGATGAAAGTGGATTAAATGTTAAACTAATTTTAAGCGACAAACTGTCACGGTGATTGTATATCAGCTCTCAAGGCATGTAGCAAGTCCATATTTATATTGACAGTGTTAATTAAGTCCTTCTTTCCAAATATGCCTCTTGATTTTCTGTGCATGGCATTCCTAGCACTGCTCCTCTAATTAAGGCCTAATCTTTTTAATGATCCTGCATATATGTTGTGCTAACCTCTTTCTCCTTTTCTCCACATGCATACATATATGCACATAAAACTAAGTTAAAGTTCTGTGAAATGGGTGGTGGTTTCTGATATTTTCTATTCTATTTGATTTTCTTTTTTTTTTCTTCTTTTTTTTTTTTAATATATTTTATTTATTTATTTTTAGAGGGGACAGGAAGGGAATAGAGAGGAAAAGAAACATCAACATGTGGTTGCCTCTCCTGTGTCCCCTACTGTGGACCTGGTCTGCAACCCAGGCATGTGCCCTGAAACCCAGGGATGTGCCCTGACTGGGAATCAAACCGGTGACCCTTTGCTTCATAGGCCCGTGCTCAGTCCACTGAGCTACACCAGCCAGGGCTCATTTTCTTTTTTTAATGCTAGTGACCAAGTAAATTTATTTTACAGTCCATAATAGATATTGACCTGCATTTTAAGAAACACAGATATCCTCTGCATTCCATTTTCTATCCCTATTTTCTCCCTTCCTACTTGTCTTTGTAACCAATTGTTGTCTTATATTTCCTCGTTTCCTCACCCAGTGCATCTGTGTCTCCTAGCTCTTTTTCTCCTCCTTGTTTTATGGAAATAATATGGTCTCAATAGGTTCTTTTTCCAGTAAAATGGATCTTGTAAAAGCTATGGAAATATAGTAGACTTTTGACCAGGGCCACTGAAGTGTGATTTTAAGGTTTTAGGAAGTTACTGTTTCCTCTAAATTGCTTTCATTGACAATGTCTTATGCTTGAAAATTTATAAACTATATTTTAATACTTTGATTTCTTGCATCAATGTAAATAAATGTCTTTGGGAGGATAGCATGTTATGTTAATATTAGTATGATTGAATTTTAGATTCTGTTGGGTTTTTTTTTATGATGTTATTTATTTATTTTTAGAGAGAGGAAAAGGGAAGGAGAAGAAGGAGAGAAACATTGATGTGTGAGAGAAAGATCAATTTGTTGCCTCTCCTGCAGGCCCTGAATGGGGACCTGGCCTGTAACCCAGGCATATGCTCTGACCCAGAATTAAACTGGGGGCCTCTCAGTTTCTGGACAATGCCCAACCTACTGAGTCTCACCAGTCAGGGCAATTCTTTCTGGTTTTAACCAGAGAGTAGAAAATAAAGAGCTGCCCTGGCTGGCATAGCTCAGGGAGACGGGTGGGGGGAATTGATATTTTCTTCCTTCCCTTCTTTTAGAAAAAAGAGCTGACTGAAAGAGAGAAATAATATAAAGTATAAGATTGTTCTCAATATGCCTTAAGAATAACATCACTGCTCTGGCTGGTGTGACTCAGTGGATTGAGTGCCGACCTGTAAACCGAAGGGTCGCTGGTTAGATTCCCAGATCAGGGCACATGCCTGGGTTGCGAGCCAGGGCCCCAGTAGGGGGTGATGTTTCTCTCTTTCTCCCTCCCTTCCCCTCTCTCCAAAAATAAATAAATAAAATCTTTAAAAAATAACATCGGTGCACATTTCATTGACCTGCTTTCTCATATATGTGAGCAGTGTTATTTCTTATGTGCTATACAAGTAGTTGAAGGTTAATTAGCAGTATAACTAAATAGTAATGCTGCCAGTCTCCTTCAGACAAATAGTTAATAATAAAAAAATAACATCACATCACATGTACATAATAATGAGTTATTATAAATCTTTTATAATTCTTCTATGTATTATGCATATATGTATGCATGCACACCCCTATAAAGAGTTTTTTAAGTTTTTACATTTATGATGAAAAAACCTATTTTAGTTTGCCTGTGATTTTTATAGGACGTGAGCAACATTCTGTTATTGTTCTGCAGGGTCAGTTAAATTTTATCATGAACAAATGAGCATTGTATACATTAAATGCAAAGGTAATTATTTGTAGCTTTTATAAGCAAGAAATTATTCAGTTCCAAACAAGAAACCAAATATAAAGTAAAATTAATAGAATGGGGAAAATGTATGTTTTTTAAAATTTATTTTCTAATTATACTTGACGTACAATATTACATTAGTTTCAGGTGTACAGCCTAGAAAATGTTTAAGTTTTTAGCTGAACTTTGAGCAGGAATAGTCCAGAAAAGGTGTGATCTGTAAGTTTAATACAATTTTTACCTAATTTGAGTTGTAATTGACTACTGACTTTGGTTTATCATGAGGATTATGCAAAATGAGGTTAAATGTGTTTTAAATATTGTTAACATCAGTGGTTGATTTCTTAATTAAAAATTTATACTGCTGTTGGAGCAAATGCTTTTACTCATTTATTGGGTTGGCTGAAATGTTTGTTTTTTTCTGTAACATGGCTCTAGTAACACTTAGTTGTCTTTAACTTCAGTCGAACAATTTTGTTAGGTGTTATTGTGACAGTTTTCATATCAACTAACATTTTTTAAAAAATCAAAATTGGTTGAAGCTATTTTGTGTAGCTATTCTAATGTTGAAGATGGAAGAAAATACATAACATTTTTGCCATATTATGCTTTATTATTTCAAGATAGGTGAAAACACAACTGAAACACAAAGATTTGTGCAGTGTATGGAGAAGGTACTGTGACTAATCAAACATGTCAAAAGTGGTTTGTGAAGTTTCGTGCTGGAGATTTCTTGTTGGACAGTGCTCCATGGTCAGGTAGACCAGTTGAACTTAATAGTAATGAAATTGAGACACTGAGAACAGTTAATGTTATACCACCCAGGAGATAGCCAACATACTCAGAATATTCAAATCAATAAAGTTACTGGTGAAAATAAAAAATGTGTCTTTAATTTTTACGGAAAAAACCATGTGGACTTTTTGGCCAACCCAATAATTTGGGTCACCTTGAACTTCCTTATCTATAGTAAGTACATGTCTTGTTATATTATTAATGCATTAAAAACAATTTTTAGGTTTTTGAAGTTAATTGTGAATTTATGCTTAATATATTACAGATCAAGGCATCATTTTGGATAAAAGTTCATGTTTTGAAGTCGACTGACTGTATACTGTTAATTATCTTGGGAAATTTCTGCTTTAAAATTTTCCACTTTAATTTTATTTCTTTAGAGAAGAAAGAGTGAATATGAAGGTTCCCAGAGATATGGATGATGCCAAGGCTCTGGGAAAAGTTTTATCCAAATATAAGGACACCTTTTATGTACAAGTACTTGTAGCTTATTTTGCTACATATATTTTGTATCCTTTTAACTGAAAAATGTTCTCTAGTGTTGTTCCAGAAAAAGGTATTAAAAGATCTGCTCAGTTATACATAATTATTGTTCCTTTTAAAATTGTTAATGTAGTGTATGTAATGTAACAATATCAACTAGAATATTAAAAATGTAAAATATTTGCATATTAATCCTGTCTGTTCAACTAAGTAATTATTTCTGGATATTTTTACCAATTTTATTATATTCTTTTTATTTACTTATAAATATTTTTCTATGTATTGAGATAATTATTTATCTGTTTTATTATGATTACTTTATTTGTGGATTGTCTTAATTTAATTTAAATAATTCTTTTAAATTAGTAGTTGCCATACCATAATTGTTAAAAATTCCCTTAGGTTTCAAGATATAATTTGTATTTAATTTTTTGCTTTTTTAGGTGTTATTAATATTTTTGTTTATGACATTTTTCTTCCATTTAATGGTTTTCTTTGTAAAAAGTCCTAGGAGGATAATTAGTTACTCAAAGGATATGGATTTTTAAAACAGTACTTAGTATGTATTTCTTCATTTTATAAATATATATGTTGTATTTTTAACTAGTCAGGGAAATAACTTTATTCTTTCTAAACATTTTCAAGCTGCTTATGCCACTAGTGATTAATCTAATTTGTGGACTTTAATTTCTGATTTTTGCATCTTTTATTCTCTCTTTTTTTCTTAATTTTCACCTGAGGACTTGTTTACTTTGTTGATTTTAGAGAGAGAGCAACAGAGGGAGGGAGGGAGAGGGGCAGATGGAAGGAGAGAGACAAACAGAGACATCTATGTAAGAGAGAAACTTTGATCAGTTGCCTCCCATACACACTTGACCAGGGATGTGCCCTGTCTGGAATCGAACTCGCAACCTTTTTGGTGTGTTTGACAGCATTCCAACCAACTGAGCCACATGGCCAAGGCCTGTATTTTTTATTCTGATCCATTCTCTTTTTCAAATATTCTCAATTAATGAAAGACATTATCTCTAGATGTTGTGACAGTAATCATTATACGTTTATTTTAAAAATAAATAAACCAGCTTTTATTTTAAAAAGTAAATTACTTTGTTAATTCTTTCAAACTATTTTTATTCTTGCTGCCTCTTACTTTTAGTGGAGGTATCCAGTAGACAGATAGAAAATTCGAGACTGGTATTTGATTGGAAAAGTTGAATCAGAGATAAAGAATTCAGAGTTGTCAGCAGGTATGGCCATGTACTTGAAGCCATGGAAACTGCTGAATTTATCAAAGGAAAGGGAAAGGTGAATATGGCTAACAGAATGGTAGAGAAATCCCAGATTTGAGGGTAAGGAGAAGAAAAAAACTAGAGGTGGAACTATCTGTAAGGTAGAAGAAAAGTAAAAAAATATTTTTTATGCGAGAGGATGTTTCATTCTGTGCAGGAATCACCAAAAAATGACTTAAGCCATAGATTTTTGGCCAGGAGGAGGTTTCAGTAGAGTGGTGTGTGGGTGAACCACATCATAAGGGAAGAGGAGAGAATGTCCTGCGAGGAAGAAAGATGAGAGGCAGTAGCTGGACAGGATTCCTCAGTCAAGCAAAGCCTCGATTTTCTTCAGTTCCTAGGCATCTGAGTGGTTTTATACAGGACAGATCCTGTGAAAGAGCAGGAGGTTAAAGAAACAACCCAGGAAGAAGATTGAAATGAGAATGTGAGTAAAGTGGGAACTAAAAGAAGGAGAGGGAGAATCAGTGGATAAAGATAGAAATTTTCAACTAGGAAGGAGAGATTCTGGGGGAGTTCATGCAGTCTGACTGACCTTATAATAAGTAAATCATGTTGGGATGACAGAGGGGTCCAAAGCCAAAGCTGGAAACTAAAGGAAAGTAGAAAGAAGCATAATTGTATTTAAAATAAGATTTGTGGTTTTCACTATGTTTTGTAATCCCTATCTTTTTTTAAACAGTTCGCTGAACTCTTTCCTTTAGAGTTCAGTGAATTTAAGGCAAATGCTTATAAGTTAAATGAGAAATTTCCACAGAAATCATTCTTGAAAATATTTGGAAGTAAATACACTGCATTAAAGAAGCATATTTAAAAAATTACTGAAGACCTCTTTTGTTCTGGTGTTTGTTCTCTCTCTCTCTCTCTTTCTTTTTGCCAAAGTGCCTAATTCCTGGCTGTCACATGTTAGTGAATGGTCAACTTAGAGATGAGGACATTATAAATGAGGAGTTATATATTTTTTACACTATTGTAACTTATTAACATGATAACTTATATTTTGATACTTTTTTTCTGAAATGTTGGATTTGTCTTTTTAAAATTCCATTTAATTATGTTTTAATCCTTAACTTAAAAGTTAACAGCTTGCAAACATTTGCTATTCCAGGTTCTATATTTCTCAGCATACTCTCAGGGTTTCTTTATCCCTTTCCTCTAGCCTTGTTTCTTGTTTGTTTGGTAAGTATATGAAATGAAACTGGGAGACTACAAAAAATATAGCTTTAAGTAGAATGGGGGGAGGATGGCATTATTGGTTCCACTTATTTAAGCATAAACTCATTAGTTTTGTTTAAATATATTTTATTGATTATGCCATTATAGTTGTTCTATTCCCCCCATCATTCCCCTCCACCCTGCATACCCCCTCCCCCACCATTCCCCCCTTTAGTTTATGACCACGTGTCTCAAGTTCTTTAGATTCTATATTTCCCATACTATTCTTGCCCTCCCCCCTATCTGTTTTCTACCTACTGTCTGTGCTACTTATTTTCTGTACCTTCTCCCCCCTTCTCTTTCTCCCACTCCTCTGTTGCTAACTCTCCATGTGATCTTCATTTCTATGTTTCTGCTCCTGATCTAGCTGTCCTCTTAATTTGCTTTTGTTTTAGGTGTGGTTGTTAATAACTGTTGAGTTTGCTGTCCTTTCACTATTCATATTTTTTATCTTCTTTTTTCTTAGGTAAGTCCCTTTAACATTTATAAGTCCCTTTAACATCACCAAGCCCATATAATAAGGGCTTGGTGATGATGAACTCCTTGAATTTGATCTTATCTGAGAAGCACTTTATCTGTTCTTCCATTCTAAAAGAAAGCTTTGCTGGATAGAACAATCTTGGTTGTAGGTCTTTGGATTTCATGACTTGGAATACTTTTTTCTAGCCCCTTTTTGCCTGTAAGGTCTCTTTTGAGAAATTTGCTGACAGTCTGATGGGGACTCGTTTGTAGGTGACTGTCCCCTTACCTCTTGCTGCTTCTAGGATTCTCTCCTTCATTTTAATCTTGGCTAATGTAATGATGATGTGCCTTGGTGTGTTCCTTCTTGGGTCCAACTTTCGTACTCTCTGAGCTTCCTGGATTTTCTGGAATTCTATTGCCTTTGCCAGATTGGGGAAGTTCTCCTTAATTATTCGCTCAAATAAGTTTTCCATTTGTTGCTCTTCCTCTTCCCCTTCTGGTACCCCTATAATTCGGATGTTGGAGTGTTTAAAGATGCCCTAGAGGTTCCTAAGCCTCTCCTCATTTTATTGAATTCTTGTTTCTTCATTCTTTTCTGTTTGGTCATTGTTTTCTTTCTTTTGGTCCACTCCCTTGATTTGAGTCCCAGTTTCCTTTCCATCACTATTGGTTTCCTGTGCATTTCCCTTAATTTCAATTAGTTTAGCCTTCATATGTTCCTCTAATTTGTGGCTAAAATCAACCAGTTCTGTGAGCATCCTGATCACCAGTGTTTTGAACTATGCATCTGATAGGTTGGCAATTTCTTGTTCGCTTAGATTTATGGGCTCTGGGGGTTTGAGTTCTTCTTGAGCCATGTTTTGGTCTGTTCAAGCCTGTTACATATGAGGAGGGGAGCTTTAGGTGTTCACCAGGGTAGGGCTACCCAGGTTGCTGGTTTGTGATGCTGTATGTGGGGGCGGGGGCAGAGAGGGAGCAATAGCAGTCCCCTCTGCTGCTTCCCACCGCTGGGACCTGCGCGGTCTGTCTCACTGCTTGCTCCTTCGCTGGTTTATCTGTGCGTGGATGTGTGACTGAGGTCAGCCTGCCGCCTTGCACCTTCACTGGGTCCACCGGTTGCTACCCCACACCTGGGCTCCGTCCTCGGCTGCCTGCATGCCTGGGTCGGGGGTCATTTTTGCCTGACCCGCTCCGCTGCTGCCTCCACCCCTCTTACCAGTCTTGCTGAATGGTTTGTTGTTGTCGTCGGGGTTCTGTATAGTTCAATTTTCTGTGGTTTGGCTGCCTTTTTTGTTGCTAAAACTTTGTTGTTTTTAAACTTGGTCGTGCGAGAAGGCACAGTGTTTCCACCTACGTCTCCATCTTGGCGGAAGTCCCCCCAAACTCATTAGTTTTAGGAGTCATTTAATGTTTATCTGTTAAGTCCCTCCATAAGGAGCTGTTGTATAGTTAGTTTGTTTTTTTCCTAGAGCAGGGAAATCACAGATTCAATTGCATTTATAGGCTCTGTTTTAACCTTTTCTTCCTGTTGTGTTTTGTCATTCAAATATTCCAAGAGTATGGGTGTGCAAAATGAGTTACGTCCCAGGGCTGGAGGTGATATTTCCAAGCATATTAATTGAAAGAAAAAAAATTGGCTCTTGGAGTTTTATTCTTAGGCTAAAAGCTATTAGCTATTTGGATAGAGACATTAAATTTAACCCTAAGTGCCAGTTTGTTGTAGCTGATCTTATTTTAGTTATAATTTGGTCCGAGAAAGGACTAGACCAAATGGGTTCTTGGAAACACTGTTTGTGCAGCACAAAAGATGCCATGCAGAATATCCTCCCTCCCTCTGCCCCAAAAGAAGTAAACTAGTTCAGCTTTTCCTTGGGTGAATATATCCATGTGAATGAGTACCAAATACTTAAATGGCTTCTTATTTTCTAGTGTTCTGGACTCGGTGCCTCATTCTGCTATATGCTCTCCTATTTAGTTGGAAGACCAGTTGTATACAAATACCTAACAGAGAAAGCAGTGAAATGGTCACAGCAGGTAAACATGTATTTTAAAATTATTTAATGTCATTTTTTGGCTAATTGGGTGGTCAATATGTAGTCCTTACATAAATTAACTCAGACTCAATCAGGGCTTCAATGAAAATGATCTTTTGGCCAAAGTAAAATCAAGTGGGAGGGAAATAATGAATGTTAATATTTTCAAATACAAGTTTTTATATGTTAATTCATTTTTAGTGAGTTCGATTAGAGCATAGAAATCAAAATGTCGATGTAAAAGCATCCACATATTAAGATGCCTCGCCTATTTTGTGTTGATGTAGTGATGCTGTCAGTGGGTCCCTGAAGAACTTGACGAGCCAACTCCTTTAGTGTGTTTCACAGGGGAACAGCTGTTATCTTCAGGCAGGATTTCTGCAAAGACTAGCAATAATATAAGCAATACTACACAGAAAAGTCTCACATAGTACTACTAAGAAAATCCTTTTTTTATAAAGAATCAAAAGAAATGCCATTAAATCTTGGAGGAGTTGTAGAAAAAAATCTTTGTCTTATCCTTTTGTGTTCCTGATTAAATATTAAAATTATTTTACATGTATTTTTGGAATAGCTGTTTTCTGTTAGTTTATTCAAAGGAGGTAGTAACTATAATATAATTATTGCTTATATTTAATTGGTTAAATATGTCCATATACTTGTTTAGTGTCACTTATCAATAACAAATTTACTCATGTGATATATATTATAATAACATAAAGATCTGAATTTTTTTAAATTGGAGTTTGGGTATGTTGATGTGCTATCCTAGCCCTTTACATTGTAGGAAGTTAAAGGCATTAAAAAGTTGGTTGCTTGATATGTTTCTTGTATCTAGTCATAAGTTTAATTTTGTCATTTTAGGCTTAAAATGTCATTGTTGAGTCATTATGTAGGCTAGTGATTTTCAACTTTTTCATCTCATGGCACAGGCACATATAAACTAATCACTAAAATTCAGTGACACACCAAAAATATGTTTTTTGCTGATCTGACAAAAAACAATAGACATAATTTTGATTCATTCAAACGAGATGGTTGTTGTTGTGTTTACTGTTGTCATTTTTTTATCTGACCTTCTAAGAGAAAAGACATCAGTGCCCCTGATACTGCATGTCTTAAGAAATCCTCTCAGCACCACAGTGTGTCTCTGTGGCACACCGGTTGAAAATCGCTGACCTGGGCTGATACAGAGCCACCTTCAGCAGTATAACATAAAGCTATAGGAACAAGTTGTAAAAAACTCTCATCCCATATTACTTAGCTCTGGTAGTGATCATTTGATAAGTAGTTCATTGTCATTTTCAAGTACCCTTTTTATTAATCATTGGATAAACTCCGCTATCAAGTATGAGAATTTGAAATAAGGTATTTTATATGAAGCAAATTATTTTCAAGACTGACTTTATCCTGTTTCTTCCTTGTGACAGGTTGAACGTCATAGAGAACATCTCATTAACTATATTATATTTTTGAGAATAACACCGTTTCTGCCTAATTGGTTTATTAATATTACATCTCCTGTGATAAATGTGCCATTGAAAGTGTTTTTTATTGGCACTTTTCTAGGTAAGGTCTCTGGCTCACTCTGTGTTAGAACTCATTGTGTACGTACCCATCTAGCAGTGTCCAGCTGGGCTAGCTTTCATGCTCTTTCCAGATATGCCAGACCTTGGCACAGAGCCTGGCCTATGTAGATAGATGCTCAGAAATGTTTGTTGGATTGTCTTTTTTTTAATCCTCACCTGAGGATCTGTTTTCACTGATTTGAGAGAGAGAAACATTGATCAGTTGCCTCCCATACATGTCCCAACTGAGGCTCAAACCAACAAGCTAGGGATGTGCCCTGACCGGCAATCAAACCCTCGTACAGGACAACCCTACAATCAACTGAGCCACGTGGCCAGGGCTGTTAGATTTTCTTAAGTATTTGTGTGTCAATCCTTTTAAAGAGGCATATATTCTCTACCTCTATTTTTTAATCATGCAGTATTAAGCTGAATTTTTAAATTCCATTCTTTCCTTCATTATGGAGACAAAAAAATCCAAGTGCCTTTTTTGAATAATTTTGTCCTTTATCTTTTAATCAAGCACTGAAATATTGAACTTTAATTTTTAGTGAGAATTGATACATTTTTTTGCTTTATTGAAATTGATATTTATTATGGACATTACCAAAATGTATGGGGGAAGCAAGGTTTAACATACATTTTGCTTTCAAGGAGCTGCGCTTAATTTTGAAAATCTGTGGACCTGAGATTCTTTTATGCATTTTATAAATTCAGATGGTTCCTTAGTGAAAGTATTCTGCTTTTCTTTCAAATTTAAGTTGAATTGTTTAGCTACAAATAAAAGGAGCAGATTCCTTGTGTGCTGAGTGTCCATTTATTGTGAGAATAAATCTTTTTGAAAACAGTAATTGAAATCAGCCCTGGCTGATATGGCTCAGTGGTTAAGTGCCAGCCTGAGAATCAAAGGGTCACCAGTTGCATTGCCAGTCACAGTAAGTGCATGGGTTGCAGGCTAGGTCCCCAGTAGGGGGTGTGTGAGAGGCAACCACAAACTGCTATTTCTCTCCCTCTCTTTCTCCCTCCCCCTCTCTAAAACCAAATAAATAAAAATCTTTCTTAAAAAAAGAATAATCAAAATAAATTTTTATTGCTACTTTAAAAAAATTCCTTGATAAACTTAAAAATTTCAGCAGGGGTAATTTTAGATTTTGTAAATTAATGTTCATGGAATCAAAAGAATTTTTGTCCATATCTCCTTATTTTACGGATGAAATACCTAGAGATTTAGTTTAACTTCGGCTTTGACTAAAGCAGCTTTTCCAGTTCTGATTTTTAATGAAATATGATTATTTTGCATATGCTCTTATTTAAATTCTTTTTGCTCATATTTAAAGTTATTTCATGTCTGAGTATCTCCTACCACTTTATTTTTAAGTGTATTCAGTCAAGGGTGAACAACAATTTACTGTCTTATTTTTGAACATTTAGATCATTTCCAGATTTTTATTATTTTAATGCTTCGATGATGAACATCCTTGAGATCTTTGCTCATACACATTATTTGTTAAAGTTGAAATTGCTGGATCAGAGCACATTCTTTTTTAAAGCATGTTCATAAATGTAAAATTTTTTTTCAGAAACTTTTCTTGAGTTCTTAAATTTATTTCCTTAAAAGGTGATTATGAAAAATGTAATTCTTCAAAATAAAAACATTTTTCTTTAATTTACATTTTATGAAAATATTTTTATGAAAAATTAAAATTAAAAAATAATTTTCTTTAATTTACATTTTATGAAAATATTTTATGAACAATTAAAATATTTTAAGTCGACATTTTAAAATATAATTACATTTAAAATATATATTACTTTTTTTTTTTTTTAGAGAGAGGGGGAGGGAATGAGAAAGAGGGAAAGAAACATCGATGTAGGAGAGACACACCAACCGGGTTGCTTCTCTCCTGCCCCTGCTGGATACCTGGCCAATAACCCAAACATGTGCCCTGACTGGAATCAAACCAGTGACCTGTTGTTTCATAGGCCAGGGCTCAATCCACTGAGCCACATTAGTCAGGGCTAATTACATCTTCCTATTGCTGATATTGATGATCTCCTTACTCCCCCTTTATCTTATTGGAAATAAACTTGAGGGGCTTTAAATAAAAAATTTCCAAAGTGGAGATTACTATATTCTTAAAAGATATTTTGTGCATGTGGAAAATTTTAATGGTAAAAGACAAGCGATTTTTACTGTGGTTTTTTTTTTTTAGGTGTCGCACCTCCCTCTTTTGTAGCAATTAAGGCAGGAACAACGTTGTATCAACTTACAACAGCAGGGGAAGCTGTTTCCTGGAATTCAGTGTTTGTTCTGATGATTTTGGCTCTTCTTTCTATCCTGCCAGCCATCTTCCAAAAAAAGCTAAAACAGAAATTTGAGTGAAAAACCATCTGGGTTTTAGTGTTCCTATCATCATCATCATCATCATCATCATCATCATCATCTCAGGATTGACGGGTTTATGTGTTAAAATCACCTCTTCAGTAATTGAAACAAGGAATTTATAAAATAAAAGTTCCTATCATACAGTTAAAATAATGCATTTAAGTGGCAAGGGAGAGAAGAAAGAATGGAAATTGATATACCATGAAAAGTGCTGTCAGTAGTTATGATAGACATCTTCTAAATTACTATTCCAAGGGTAGCCATAAATAATTAGTAACAGCATCATAGGAAATTCTTGACCCCATTGATTTATTCAATTTAATATATTCATGAACTGGCTATAGAAACTTACCCTTGGCTTGATATTTTAATATTTTTCTCTCTTATTCCTTGCTAATAATTAAAATAGATATACAAAAGTAAAACAACTAGATTTCTAAAAATAGTATTGTACTTCTAGCTAGTGTTAGCCTTTTTTTAGAACATAGATTTAAAACTAGTACTTAAAAGAAATTTACATCTTCCTCTTTTTACCTTTGAGGTAATGGACTTATTTAGAAGTTGCATCTTAGTGTACTACTGAATTGGAAAAGGGTATCAAGTTATATCTATTTGTGTATTTTGTTTTTCTGTTCCAGATTATCATGGATTAGTTTGAAATTTAAAATTTGACCAGTCTATTTTCATTTTTTTCTAGCTTTCACAATATTTCTATTGTGCATATACAAAATGGTGATTACATGATGATTGCTTCATATTGGTTTTGATAATTTATATTCAGGTAATATTTTGTTACACAGTTTCCCTTTGCTATCTCTGAAGGGGATCAAAAAACAAACATTAATCATAAACAGTTTTTAGATGTCAGATTAATTATATTACTTTATATTTTGAAATAAACAGTGATCGCATAACACTTAGGTGGTTAAATATAGTTTTTGTTCCAATGACTGTAAAGTTTACCTTATTTATTTATTAGTCTGGTCATTAAAGTATGTATTATGTAACTCTCCTTTTTTAATGCATGATATACTTACAAGAATGCCTTGTTTCATTTCTGTAGATGGCTTTTTTGTCTGGGGCTTCTTCTGCTTAATGCAGTTTCCCAATTTAGTGTTTTTTACTTTTTATAACTCAAAGTATAATTAACTTCTCACAAGGAAACTACTAATTTTAAATAATCCTGGAAAAATGGAACAGCTTTTTGCTGCTTGCTTAATGGTAATACACTTGATTCTAGGATACAACTGATTTGAAGCAAAGTACTCTTGTCAGTTTTACCTTCACCCAAGACTGTTGTGTTGAAAAGTACTTCAACTGGGAGAAATCCGTGTATCTTATTGTGAGAGGTATGATCATCCTCAAAGCCTGTTTCTATTACATAATGTGGACTGATTTATTATTTTTTCTATCACAGTATTAACAAATGGATTTATTGTAAATACAAAGAAAATATATTGATTAATATACTATTCTTGTCACCTGGCCTTTGTGTGAAATTATTTATTGTTATTTCTAGCAAGGTTTTCTTCCTTTCTTATTGACTAGAGACTGAGTAATAAGCTTTTGTTATTTTTACAGATGAACTTAAAACATAACCTTTTGAACAGAGTTCACTAAATATTACTGTATAAAATGTAATTGAATAAATTTTTATCAGACTTTTAAAAGTGAAAGATCTTTGACTCAGGAGAAGTCTCAGTATTCACTCCACTGTGTATATACTGTACTTACTCTATTCTCAGAGTATTTTTCCTATCCTTATCATTGATTCTTTCCTATTGCTGATTAACTTTCTTCTGTTTGAAAACTGTAACTGTCACTCAAGGTGGGGTATATTTTCTTCTCCCAAGAGAATAGCCAGCCAGTCTTTCTAGATTCATCATCAGTGACTGCCAAGAACGAACCCTTCAGCGGGCTATAAATACAGTGGTGCCCATATTCACGGATTCACAGATGTGGCCTGATGCCAGATGTAAATTCAAAGTTCAGATACATCTTGAAGACAGATACATATAATAACCACAAGAGAGCAAGTATGTGTAGTGGGGAGCCCTACAAGCTAACTAGGAAGTTGATGAACTGATGAAGCGAGACTGTATCCTCATAGTTAATAGCCCCTCTATGGAGTTCAGTTACTTTGAGTATAATATTTATTTAATTTTATTTATATTTCTAAGACACAATGAATGCAAACTAAAATGTAACAATAAATTATACTAAAAATTAAATGTAGTACTTGGTCTTTATTTCATTGAATAAAAATATATTCTCGAAATTCTGATACACATTTTCAACGACAAAGGAAATTTTAAATATTTCTAAAATCAATAAAAAATTAGAGGAAGGGGGGAGAAAGAAACATTGATTTGTTTCACTTATTTATGCATTCATTGGTTGCTTTTTAAAAATAATTTTGTAAATTTTATTTATTTTTAGAGGAAGGGAGAAGGAGAGAGAGAGAAACATTCATGTGCAACATGTGCATTGATCTGTTGCCTCTCTCATACCCCAGCTGGGAACTTGGCTTGCAACCCAGGCATGTGCCCTGCTTGGGGATCCAACTGGTGGATCCTTCAGTTCGCAGTCCACTGAGCCACATCAGTTCATTGGTTGCTTCTTGTATGTGCCCCGACTGGGGATTGAACCTTCAGCCTTGCTTTATAGGGATGATGCTCTAACTGAGCTACCCAGCCAGGGCAAGAACGAAGAAAACTTTAAAAACCTTTAATTTTTGCAGTTGACTTGGTGCAAAGTCAGTTGACTTAATTCAACTGAATGTTCTCTTTGGCTTTTAGAAAATGAGTAGAATAAATAGAAAGGGCTGCCGTTTTCTTGGTATGTAAATGGTCATTAGATATGTAGGAGGTGGGTTTTATTGCAGTTTCAGTACTCAATTCTGATTTTTCCCCCGCCTTACCTGGGACACAGAAATCTCCTGAGCCTTACATATAGGTAGAGATTATTTTTCCATTCTGTTTTTGTGTAGCCAGATGCTGTACATGCAAATTCTGGCCATTATCCACATTACCAAATGCCTTATATCAACTCTCTTAAACTTGGTGTGCTGCAAGAATTTTTAAAACATGCAATACCTGACTATTTAGTCGGGGGCACTGACCTCTTTTCCCTCAATGTCAAGTAAAAAGATGACATCAGCAAACACAACAATAGCCATCCAATGTGAATGAATCAAAATTATACCAATTTTTTTTGTCAGATCAGAAAATATTAATTTTTGGGTAAACGATTCACTGAATTTTAGTGAATTGTTTGTGTGCCATGAGATGAAAAGTTGAAAATCACTGCCTCATATGATCTGTAGGTTTAATGTAATTCCCATCAATATCCCTGTAATTTGTGGTAGATCTAAACAAGATTATTTTTTAAATGCATATGGGAAGGCAAAGGAAGTAGAATAGGTAAAATCTCAAAAAAGCAGAATAAAGTAGGAGAAATTACTTTTTCAGATTTCAAAGTTTATTGTATGGCTCCAGTAATCAAGACACGGTGGTATTGGCAGAGGTATAGATACATCAGTGGGACAGAATAAAGAACCAGAAAGAGACAAACCTGTCAAAAACAGGTTTTTGACAAAGATGCAAAAGCAATTCTATGACAAAAATACAGCCTTTTAGACAAATGATGCTGGAGCAATTGGACATCCACAGGTAAAATTAACCACCTAAAAACTCAAATCTTATCTATAAATTAACCCAAAATTAATTTTAAAAATGTAAAACTCAAACTTTTAGTCAAAACAAAATACTTGGTATCTATAGCTAGATAAAGAATTCTTAAGACTTGACACCAGTGGCATGATCTGTAAAAGGAATTAGTAAATTGCACTGTAAAAATGTTTGCCTCTTTTAAATTTAATCTTTATTGTATTTTTCCATTACCATTTAATCCCCTTACACCCCACTCCCCACTAACAGTTACCACACTGTTGTCCATGCCCATGAGTCCTTTTTTGTTCAATTCCTCCACCTCTTAACCTCCCCCTGCCCCAACTATGTATAAGATCTTAAACTACAGAGTAGGAGAAAAGAACTGCATACCCCATATCCAACACACTGGTATCTAGAGTACATAAAGAATTCCCAAAGAAATTTTTTAATCATTTTTTTAAATTTTTTATTTAGTTATTTTTCAGGTACAGTTTTTTTGTCTATTTCTCCCATCCCAGCCCCCCCCCCGCCCCGTGCTCCCCACCTTCCTCCCATTTCCCCCCCCAGTCCTCATCCCTGCGTCTTTCATACTTGTTCCTCCAAATCCCTCCCCTTTTCCCCCCTTAAATTCCCTTCCCTCTCTCCTCTGGTCACTGCCCACTTGTTCTCTATTTCAGTGTCTTGGTTTTTATTCTGTTTGCTTGTTTGTTTTGTTGCTTAGCTTCCTGTTAAAGGTGAGATCATATGGTATTTGTCTTTCAACGCCTGGCCTATTTCACTCAGCATAATGCTTTCTAGTTCCATCCATGTTGTTGCAAAGGGTAGTAGCTCCTTCTTTCTCTCTGCTGCATAGAATTCCATTGTGTATATGTACCACAATTTTTTGATCCATTCATTTACTGATGGGCACCTAGGTTGCTTCCAGCTCTTGGCTATTGTAAATTGTGCTGCTATGAACATTGTGGTGCCTAGGTTCTTTGAAATGGATGTTTTAGGATTCTTGGGATATAATCCTAGCAGTGGAATTGCTGGGTCAAAAGGCAGGTCGATTTTTATTTTTCTGAGAAAATTCCATACTGTTTTCTTAATCATTTTTTAAACTTGAACTTTATTGTTGACACTATTACATACACCCCATTTTACTCCCCTTTGCGTATCTTCACCCACCCCCAGCCCCTCCTTCGCTCTGGCCATGGCCACACTGTGGTCTGTGTGTGAGTTACGCATATATGTTCTGCGGCTAATCCGTGCACCTTTCATCCAGACTCTCTTCCCCTCTCCCCTGTGACAGCTGTCAGTCTCTTCCATGTACCTATGCCTCTGGTTCTATTTGGTTCATCGGTTTACTTTGTTTATTAGATTCCAGATATAAGTGAGATCATAAGGTATTTGTCTTTTTCTTACTGTTTACTTCACTTAGTGTAATCATCTCCAGGTTTGTCCATGCTATTGCCATATGCAAGACTTCATCTTTTTAACGGCTGTGTAGTATTCCATTGTGTAAAGGAATTCGCAAAATTTAATAGTTAAAAAAATGAGAAAATGGGCAAAAGATATAAATATTTCACAAAAAATATATATACAGATGAGAAGCACATGAAAAGATGTTCAACATTAATGACTGGAAAGGCCAATTAAAACCACAGTGAGATATCCCTATACACCTGAGTGGCTAATAAAGAAAGTGACAACAAATGTGGGCAAGGATGTAGAGAAACTGGCTGCCTGACGTATTTCTAGTGGGAGTGTTAAATGGTAGAGCCAATCCAGAAATCAGTTTGGCAGTTGCTTCAAAAAAACTCAACATCCAACTGTCATATGACCCAGCAGTTGCAGTCCAGGGTGTTTATCCCAGAAAAATAAAGACTGTTCACACAATGACCTGTATATAAATGTTAGTAACAGCTTGATTCATGATGACCTCAAATGGAAGTGATCCAGATATTCCTCAATGATAAACTGCTAAAACTAGTACATGCATACCGTGGGATACTCAGCAATAAAAAAAAGAATGAACTGTTGATGTATACAGCAACCTGGAGGAATCTCCAGCCTTATACTGAGTGAGAAAAGATAATCGTAATATGTTATATACTGTATGATTCATTTCTATAACATTTTAGAAATTGTAGACATGGAGTAGAGATCAGGAATTAAGCGGTGGGTGCAGGACAGAAATGTGTGGCTGTGAAAGGGCCACATAAGGGACCCTCGTGGTGGAACTGTTGCATCGTGACTAAGTGTCAACAGACTGGTTGTGATACTGTCTTTTCCAAGATACTGCCTTTGGAGGAAATTGGGTAACAGGTAAATAATCTCTCTGTATTTCTGACAGCTACATATAAATCTATACTTACATCAGAATAGTGTAATTGAAAAACTAAATTAACATTACATTAAGTATGTTGGAAATAGACCTCCAGATAAAGCCCCAAAGCTTTAAACAGGGAAGAATAAAATAACAGCAGAAATTAATGAAGTAACAAAAAAGCAACAGAAAAGATTTAAAAATGTTGATCCTTTGAAAAGATTAGGTCATACACATTTGACAAGATCAAAGCAAAACAGAAAATGTACAAATAAGACTAAAGAAGGAAAAATGGCTATATGCAGAAAAATAATTTGTATATTACTGGGTCACAGTAAATGTATACTGGAAAAACTAGAAATGGATAAATAACTAAAACAAAAATATACAATGCCACAACTGGCACAAGAAAAAACAAAACATATATAGTAAAACAAAATACATGAAAGGAATTGCAAAGGTAATCACTCACCTTTCAAAGCCCAGGTGTTTTTCAGGTAAA